TGTAAAATGTGGCCCAAAAGAAGAAAAAAAAGTACCAAAGGTATGAACGATGTGACGTAACAGCCAGAACAGGTTTGGTATTATGATGTCACCAGATAGTTATTTCAAAATCATTAAATATCTTGAAACATACTATTTAATACAATGATTTTTGTTGTTGTTCGTTGTTCTTATTTTGGTTAACAAACATATTGTAAATAAATCCCGTAAATTAATTCTAGACATTATAAATTCGTCTTGGGGATTACGTATTAACAAAAGTTAAAAAAAAAAAGAAGCTAATGCCAAGTACTCGATTGCAAGGCACTTAACAAATTAAGGAGCAAAAGAACATGAAATTCTCCTGTCGTGCATAATTGGACGATTGTGCTAAATCTAGATGCACGTACAATATTGTAGATATAGTTTTTAAGAAAAATAGAAGCAAAACAAGAAATGAAATAATTAGAAAAGACTATTAAACGAGATCGTTCATACGATTAAAGTTATTTATAATCTTGACAAATGAATATCAATCTTTAATTTATCTAAGCGCTCTAAATGCGCTCCAATCTATTACAAAATAATGTACTTGACAAATATCGAATAAGCATCAATCTTTTTGTCATAAAATTGTAATTTATGTCAACCCAAATGATATAACTCTAAACGTTGAGAACGTTTGGTAATTTGCATTTAAAGTAAACTTTCACTCCATTGAAACAAATCCTCGTTTACTCGACGTGGAATACCTTCACCAAAAACGAAAAGTGAATATTCATTCTTAATGTAGCTTCATTCATTCCCTCGAGTTCACTTGAAATCATTACTCTCGGCAATTTTCCACGTTACTATATGAATAATTTTTCTTTAAAAAAAAATAGAGGTCACGCATCAGTGTATATGCCCTTAATTTTTTTTTATTTTATTATTTTTTTCTTTTAATGGATTAAATTTAGAGAAAATAAAATTAATCGTCAATCTCATAATGTACTCTCGATTTTTCCATTCAAACGTTGACAATCATCTCAAAATACAAAATAATCATCTTTTCATCCTGATCCATAAATCACTACTAAAACTTTATACTTTAAAATAAATAAAAATTTCTATCCAACCTTACATTAAACTACTCTCCTAATCAAATTTAGCAATCTTTTGTTTTACAGTTTGGACTTATTTCTATTTCAAATTTATAATTTATCAATTGGCAAAAGTATGATAAAAATTTGAAATCTAGATCAAATAAAAAATTCATTTATCTCTTTACATTAAAAAAAAAAAAAAAAAAAAAAAAAAAAAAAAAAAAAAAAAAAAAAAAAAAAAAAAAAAAAAAAAATTAAAATAGATAAGACCAATAATCGTTTATGATTTATAGAAATTTATATTAGAGCGAATAATTGATAATTTTTAACATTTTACAAAATTAGTATTACGTGTACGCCAATGATTTTATTATATCCGAGAAACTCAATTATAAAACGAATTTACCATAGATAAAGTAATGAAAATTTAGAAATAATACATACATAGAGCTTCAAACGAATTGACTTGAACTTCTTAAAATATAGTGATAAATTTTGTTAAAAAAAAAAATGTTAAAACTTAAAATCTTCTTCAATTTACAAAGATTTTCCTTGGTTTGATATTTGATATTCTCAATATTTTTGGTAAATATGTATCTCATTGAATGAAATATTAAAAGTTTGTTCTAATATTGGAAACATCGACAATATTTTTTATATAAATGCTTAACGCTTATTTGCAGTAGAAATTACTGTTTATAATGTCAATCAAATTTTTGTATTATTAAATTAAATAAAATAATACCAATAAATAGTGATTATTATATGTAATAAATAAAATACAGTTTGATTACTTGATGAGTTAGTTTTTCTAATATATAAAATTATATTTAATTTAATTATTAAAATAGAATAGTATACTAGTTTAGCGATTGTGAAATTATTAAAAGTATGAATTCGTTATTGATTAAGTTGAAATTTCAAGTGGATATGAATAAAATTAATTTGTTAATACGAAATTGCTTCATGTATGAAATTTTCATATTATAACTAATTTTAAAACAAACAATGTATATTATTACAAACTATAACATATATATATATAAATTATAATATAATATACTATAAATGTGTATATATTTGTAATACAGACTTTGTGTTAATTTAACTCTGAGTAAATTACAAAAACCGGTTTTAAAGTTGCTTTTTTTTATATATAAATAATATATTAATATTTAAACTGTAATCTTGTAGTTTGTAAAAAAATAAAGTTTAATAAAGCATGCAAAAGAAAATGATCTACAGGTAGGTGTGCACACGTTGTTTAATTCAAAATTTTAAATGTGATATGAATTAACTTAATTAGTTTGAATATTTTGTATAATTTCAAAACATCTTTTAAATTAAGTAAAAACATTATTAATTGCAATACCTGTTGGTTTCATTATTTACAATATAATTTGCAGTATAATTTAAGCTTTTTATTACTTTAGATTTAACCGAGATTTTGTCGCTCGTGAAACTTAAATGAAAACCGATTATATCAACTTTTTTTAACTACAATCAAGTTGTTGTCCGAATATAATTACGAAGTAATAACGATTAATAAATAGATCAAGTCACGGTAAAGTAATCGTACTATAAGTCATATTCCAGGATTTCCGAAGCGCTCGACAATATTAAATTGTGAATGTTTAGTTAATTTTTATACATAGGTAGAAAAGCTTAAATATAATAAAATTTCATTTCCTCCAAGGTTTCGGACTATCAAGCGGACTAGCATTATCTTTACAAATGCTTTGACTCAATAATACCAACGACTTTATTGGCGAAATATCATTTATAATTATTTTAAAATGCCATTTTTGTTTAATTTTGAATTATAAATTAAAATTTTAAATTATATATCCACATAAAAATACTATTACTATTGTCCTTGAAATTAAATTTTTTAATATACCTACCTGGTGATGTAGATTATTCTACATTATATCTTAATAATCTTCAAATGCATTGTCTATTTTTTTTATTTCACGTTTTAGTTTTCATATGCGTAAAAGTGTTTCAGTTTTTATACTTATTACTACAGACTATGTATAGTACGTTCATGTTCCATTCAATTAAATTGTAAGTTTTTAAATATGCTGTTATGTCATTTGAATATAAATAGAATAATTATGAAATACAAAATACATTATTATATTCTACAAAATATTGAACTATTCATAAATAAATAATTTATTATAGAGAATCATATATTTTTCATATAGAAAGACAGGGTAATTAAATTTTACGTTTATTAAAGTAAATATACTTGTATTTTCCATTGATTAGCAATTTAAGGCAAAAGAAAAGATTTTTACTTGCATTAATTATTATTTTGTTTTGTTTTTTGTTATTGATGAATGTATTTTCCATGCTTATTAAAAAAAAAAAAAAAAAAAAAAAAAAGAGAAAAACTAAGCGAGTTTAAAGATTAAATTAAAATTAATTTATTCATAATGCAATTCTTAAATCTTTCAAGTTTATTTAAAATTTACTTTCAAAATTAACTTTATCATATTTATGTAATTTATATTATTATTTTATTTTCTTATTTCATTTTGTATATTTATTAAATTTCATTCAAGTTTTGTGTCTCTTCACATATTCTTTGTTTGCTTATACTTTTATAGATAATATATTACGACATTATTTGAATTGTCTCTCATTACTTCGCTCTATTTTCATCGAAAAACTTTCTCACTTATGCGTATTATATCTTTATTTAGAAAATGTGTTAACTGAATGGTAGTTACACATTTTATAAATTGACACGTGAATACATTTGCATCACAATTATTAAAATATGCTGTAAAGATTATAAATTGTGAAATATTTACGAAATACAAATACATTTATAATATTTGAATATGAATAATTGTTACTCGATTAAAATGTTGACAATGTTAAATAATTATAAATAATGATAAAGTAATAGAATGCAAGTTTATGACTTTTAACAAAATATAAAGGAAAATAAATAGCTTTCACGCGGATTAAATTATGCATTCATAAGTAAAAATTATAAAATTATTAAAATCTTTATGATGAAATCTTGATTATAAAGTCTAAATATGTAGATTTATCTTAAAACTTTTATTGGTTACGTAGTTTAAGAAAAATATCCAACTACATGATAAATATGTGCTTATTTTTAACGTAGGGAATAAGATTTTTAAATTAATCAAAATTTTCTTTACAAGAATACATTAATTATATTTACAAGAGTACGATTTTAAAGTGGATGCTGAATAAAATTGAATCATATATAAACGAGAAATATTATTAAAATAATTTGTTTTAAAATTAAATTTATATAAAAAACATACGTTATAAGCAATGAGATAATTTATTAAACAAAGAGGCATACAAACAAAATTTTTTTCTCTTGATTTTATAATAAATAATTTAAACGTATATTCATTTGTTATTATTATTATTTTTTTTTTACATAATTTATGAGTTTACCGAAATTAAACGGTAAATCAGTTTAAAAAGATAAATTCATAATATGGCATCAGTTTAATAAACAGATAATTAAATTTACGAGGATTGAAAAAATTTGAAAGATGCTACTTTATTTTCATAAATGTCTTATTCGTCCTATGTAATTTTACATTAGAATAGTAGAACGATTGAATATAAAATATTTGCCGAAAATTCGACATTAATAAACGTATAATATGATCGCGAAGCCATGGCAAAAAAGATACAAAATAAATGCACTGAGAAAGATGATCGAGACTCATGCCTATTGGGCAAATTCTCTCTCTCTCTCTCTCTCTCTCTCTCTCTCTCTGTCTCTCTCTCTCTCTCTTTTCTCGTTTTTCGTCTCTCCTAATCGCCCACCCCTCCCGACGTCCGTATCACTCGATCATTAATTAGCATATATCTCCTTTTCGTACGCAAGATATGTCATCCTTTAGAAGCTTTCTCAACCAATTATTCTTTCAGGTCACAGTGCAGGAAATTGAGAGCCTCTGCACCGCCACCACCGACACCACCAATTTCAACGGACACTTTGCCGAGGCCGAGCGCACCGCCGCCACCAGGTACGTATCGCATCGTGCACCCACCCGAACGCTGCCGTCAACATATCTTTAAACGCGATGAATAATAATAACAATAGTTGAGTCGATTCACATGAAATAAGAACGATCGTCCGCCATAAGGCGAATACAAGTGTGCCAAAGCACGCGTTTAAGGGAGATAAACAAGATTGCGCTGTCATGTCTCCTCACTTTTCGAAAGTGATTAAGAAATCGAGAGGGATAGAAGATGGTCTAGTCACGTCACGCAAGCAATGATAAATTATAATCAACTGGGTAGCCATTAAGTAAGGATGAATTATACAATAAATTTGCCCCATCGAGAATTCATACGATCGGTTACAGCAGCGACACTAGGAATGCTTGGCTCGCCAGCGACTCACGAACTTGCTTATAACAGCTTTTCCCCCCTCCCTTCGCACCATTCCGACAATCGCATGGTATATGTATTTATAGTATCCGAGTGGCCAATCTCAACAGATATATTTATACGCAAAAGCCGGCGTCAAAATTGCCACGCGCATTATTCGCTAACGATGTCGAGGCTCGATTTTGCATTAAGATCATCAAATAGTCAAGATCAGCCGAACCGCATCTCGTGATAAACAGTTGCTTGCAAGTGTGTCAGTAGGATTATTTAAGAGAGTGGCGAACGTCAGCGAAAATTGCCGCAATGACATAATGGACTATTTTGCAGATTTTTTGATTAGCGTATTTTTCATGTTGATTCGTTGGACAATAGCTTTTATGGTTGTAGCTTCGTATCCGATATAATGAACGATTAATTTTTCATTGGGTGTCGTGTAATATTATAACATTTATGTTATCTTTTTGACGGAATATCACATCGACTCAACCTAGTTTTTACCTTAATAAGAATTTTTCTCACAAATGTTATTATAATTTCGATTGGTTTAAAAACAACGTTCTTATGCTTAATAATTCGAGAATGGTTCTCTAGCGATGAAGTTGCAGGTAAAACCTTAATAACTGCCCTTTAACAGTTGGCCTGAAATTATTTTTACTTTTAAAATATACGAAGCTGTAAATATTATATCGACGTGTGAATAAATAAAAGAGAGAGAGAGAGAGAGAGAAATAATATATATTGGAAAAATAAATCGGATAGTTTTTGCATAAAATTTGAGTCAGCGATAAATAAAGCTTCATTCGCTTGAGCCTTCCAGGAAAGTTATTTTTCATCATTAATATTCATTTGCTTTCTGATATTATTGTTTGTCAATAATAATTTTATTACTTGAATTACTACCGAATAGAAACCGTACGTAATGTATTATAGTTGGCACGTTCATGCGAAACAAGCTTCCAACGATGTATTAATTTTACTTAAATTAACCTAATCGAATAAATTCTCTCGTTAATAATAATAATTCCGAATTTCCATTGCAATTACAGTCACAAAGCATAGCTTTAACTTGTGAGCCACACTTCTTTCGCATTCGTATGTGTAATTGCAATTTTAATGATAATCTTGTACATCACCGAATAGAAATTTTATTCCGTAATTAGCTCGTCTCTTCTTATTTATCGCTGTGGCTCTGGCTGATTGAATGTCCACTTTTTAAGCTACGATCTTAATCAATAAATTAATTAATTACAGCGTAGGAGATAATATTGTAACGCGGAAAAATAAAAAAAAACATAAAGCAAAAAACAAAAACCCAAAAATAAAAAATCAACGCAAAGTGGTGCTGTGAACAATTTTTTTTGTTTCCAATTACAGCAATACAAGTTCAAAGCCTTCTTGCAACAACTTTGTTAGTAGGTCATTCACTAAGCATATACGACATCTTCACGTAACGAAGACTCAAATGATTCTACGATTAATTGCTTAAGATTCTTGTTAGAGTAAATATAACGTCGAATAAAGTGCCGGACGACACAACATGATCGTGACGATGGCTGGGGTGACGGGAGAGGGAGGAGGAAGAGAGCACGGCGGACGTACGCTACACGAGGAATTTGCACGCGAATTTGCTAATGGCAGTTGCTTAATGGTGCCTATTAGGTGCGAAGGGCACCGATGAAAATATCAGTATTATGATCAATTATCAAAATTACCCGTTACAAACAATCGGTTTGGTAATTGGGGAGGGGGGGGGCGAATGTGGGGCTAGGAAATTGTACATTTCTTAAGCCTGAACAATGGCTACGCTTATTAGAAAGTCTTCGGCGAGAGATGAATTCGTCCAGCTATGAGCACTTGAAGCGTTCGCCCACGACTCGATCCGCTGGTCGCGCGAAAGCCTAACTCCGGGAAGGAACCTCGCCGTTACATTGAGAGCGTCCACGCGGAGAACTCGAGGCACGGACACGTGGGGCCGTCGCGTGCGCATGCGAAAGTGCCCCAGCAGCTGCGCCGAGACGATAATTTCTCTTAAGGACTGGGCCGTCATTATCTACTTGTTGTGTCTCCCGTCAGCTCGACCTCCGTTCCGAGCACTCGGTCGACTCCGACTCTCGTCGTCCAATCCGCAAAGATAAAGACAGTTTAATTAGCGATAAAGGAAACGGCTTGGAGTGAAAGAGAGCGATGGATGATTGGCTGGGTGGATTCGCATCCTCTCTACTCACTGCCCTCTCCAACGATTTTCCAAGGCTCGCACAGTTATCTCGGGCATTTTCCCAATCCGACGTCCAGCGTTAGAGGCCTTCGTTCCTCACCCGAGTCCCCAATCCCTCGTCCATGGCTTGTCGAGCGCTCGATATTTTTCGACGTTGAGAGACTCGCTTTTCCCCTCCCCCCTCCCCAATTCCCCTTCCCCTTCCCGCTCCTCTATTACACTCTCGAGCAAGCAAGAGCCTAAGTGTATCTCGGTAACCTCTGGCTCGCTGTGATTATTCAATGATTAGCGAGTTTTCTCACGCTATCGTCGTTACTTTACGCGCAACGATAAAACGGCTACGTTTGTGAATAATAAAATTGATACGAAGATTGCTTGGACCGAGTGACAGCCAATGACGTTTATTGATTAAAGTTAAAAAAAATTGTGAATTTTCTCGAAAGCCCATATTTATGATTGACGGCCAGTCTTTACCTACACACTTTTACACTTTATAAAATTGTCATTGGGATGTCGCAACGTATTCATATATAAATTATTCCCCGATAAATATTGCTCCCTATTTTTCATTTTCCTCTTTCTTCTTGGTATTAAAAACGAATCAATGGTGTTTAACTTTAATTGCCAACACTCGGGCGTCCGTCCAAGCACACCCCCCCCCCCCCCCCCCTG